CCTGGACAGCTGGGGCTACAGGGAGACCATGTCTCAAAAAGACAAAAAACAAAACAAACAAACAAAAAATTAGAAAATGGGGGCTGGAGAGATGGCTTAGCGGGCGAGAGCACTGGCTGCTCTTGCAGAGGACCGGATTCAGTTCCCAGCACCCACATGGCAGCTAACAACTGTCTGTAGTTCCAGGGGATCCAACACCTTCTTCTAATCTCCACGGGTATTTCATGACATGGATACATTTACATATATGCAGGTGATATACTTGTACTATTAAAAAATAAATAAAATTAGAAATTGTATAGCAGAATAAAAAGAAGTTACAAAGAACAGTATCAGAATATCCAACAAATCAGTGTCCAGTCATGTCCAGTTCCCAGGGTACTATTGGTCTATGAAATCAAAAAGGAACCCCAACTCTCACAATTACTGCCTGAAAGATTCAACACTTACTGGAAATGATTCCTGCTGCCTCAATATGCAGAAAGTTGAATTCAGGACTAGAGAGATGGTTTGGTGGTTAAGAGCACTGGCTGCTCTTGCAGAGGACCTGGGTTCAATTCCCAGCATCCAAATGATAACTAACAACTGTCTGTAACTCCAGTTCTGTGGGATCTGACGCCCTCTTCAAGCCTTCACAGGCATTACATGCATGTGTTGCATTTACATACATGCAGGAAAAACACTCATACACATAAAATAAAAACAAGTAATTTTTTTTAAAAAAGAAAGTTCATTCTAACCTCCAAGGGATCCTACACATATGTGGTGTGCACACACACACACACACACACACACAAATAATAAATAAATAAATAAATAAATAAATAAATAAATAAATAATCTTTGGGCTGGCAGAGACAAGTGGATCTCTGTGAGATCAAGCCCGTCCTAGTCTGCATAGCAAATTCCAGGGTAGCTGAGGTTACAGAGAGACTCTGTCCCCACCCAAAAAAAGTTGAAGTCATACATCCACCGTGAAAAAAAGACAAAAATATATTCCATTCTTGTTTTCGATTCTAAATATTACAATATACCCACACATACATTTGTTTGCATATGTACATGTGTACATTATAGAATAGGAAATTTTTTCTGGTCTTTTGAGACAGGGTCTCCCTGTAGCCCCAGCTGACGTGGAACTTGCTATGTAGACTAGGCTGTCCTTGAATTCACAGAGATCTGCTTGCCTCTGCCTCCAGAGTGCTGGGATTAAAGGTATGTGCCAACATACCCAGTTTAGAATAGGATTTGCATATAAGGGGAAAACATGGGGTTTTTCGCTTGCTGAGATTGGGTGACCTCACTTAATATTATATGCACATTCTAAGTTCATCCATTTTGCTTTGATTTTTTAATTTCATTTTTCTATCTTGATAATATCTCATATTACATATACACCAGATTTTCATTATCCATTCATCTGTTATGGACAACTAGGTTGGTTCCATTTCCTTTACATCATGAACAGAGCAGCAATAAGCATGGGGGGAGGTGCCAATAGCTCTATAGTAATATATGGAGTTCTCTAGGTATATGCCTAGGAGTGAGATAGTCAGGTCATAGATATCTCTAATTTTGTTTATTGTTTTATACAGCTGGCCTGGAACTCGATATGTAGACCAGGCTGGCCCCAGACTCACAGAGACCTGCCTGCCTCTGATTCCCAAGTGCTGGGATTAAAGGCATGCACCACCATGCCTGGCTCTATTTTTAACTTTTTGAGGACCCACCAAACTGATTTTCATAATGGTTGTACTAATTTTCACACCTACCAACCGTGAATGAGGAGTCCTCTTTCTTCACATCCTCTCTAACATTTGTGGTAGAATTTCTTGGTAAGAGCTGATAGCCATTCTAACTGGACAAGGTGATATCTCAAAGCAGCTTTCATTTTCATTTCTCTGACGACTAGGGGTATTGAAGAATTTTTAAGATAGTTGTTGCCATTTGTAGTTCTTTTTCTAAAAGCTGTCTCTTCAATTCATTGGCCCATTTGTTGATTGGTAGTTTTATTTTCTTGGTATTTAATTTTTATAGTTCTTTGTATATTTTGGATATTAGCCCCTTGTCTGATGTGTAACTGGTAAAGAATTTCTCCCATTCTGTGGGCTGTGTGCTCTGATGATAGTTTCCTTTGCTGTGCAGTAACTTTTTGATTTCATATGTTTCCATCTATTGACACCTGAGGCTAATGCTTGTGCTATTGGTGTTCTATTCTTAAAATTCTTGCCTACTCTAGCATCCTGAAGAGTTTTCTCTATATTTTCATCTAGGAGTTTCAGAGTTTCTGTTTTTAAATTAAGGTGTTTGACCCGTTTCAAATTGATTTTTATGTAAAGAGAAAGTTGTGAATCTAATTTTATTCTTCTACAGGTAGGAATCCAGTTTTGCCAACACCATTTATTGAATAGGCTATCTTTTTCCAATGTATATCTTTGCCTCCTTTGTCAAGAATTAGATGGGCATAGCTTGTTTATTGCTGGGTCATCTATTCTTTTCCATTGGTCTGCCTGTTTTTAGGCCAGTAATAAGCTATCTTTATCACTATAGGTCTGTAGTATAATTTGAGGTCATGTATTGTGATATCTCCAGCTGTGTTCTCACTCCATAGGATTGCTTTGGCTATTCATGGTATTTTGTGGTTCCGTATGAATTCTTGGGTTGTTTTTTCTAGTTCTATGAAGTGTGATGTTGGAATTTTGACAGGAATTGCGGTAAACCTGTAGATTAGTTTTGCTGGTACAGCCATTTTTGAAATGTTGAGTCTGCCAATCCAGACTCATGGAAGGTCTTCCCAACACCTAGCATCTCCTTTGATTTCCTTTTAAGTGTCTTGAGGTTTTCATTGTAGAGATCTTTGTCTTCTTTAGTTAGGTCTATTCCTATGCACTTCATTATTTTGGTGCTGTTTTAGTGGG